TCTTCTTCGGCTTTTTGTTTGGCTTCTTCTGCTTTCTTCAATTTTTTATCATTTTCATCTTTTTCTTCATGTTTTTTATCATCATGTTTGTGATCACGGTGTTTCTTTTCTTCTTCTTTCCTTTTTTTTTCTTCTTCTTTCTTTCTTTTTTCTTCCTCTTTTTTTTTCTTTTCTTCTTCTTTTTTCTTTTTCTTTTCTTCTTCTTTCCTTTTCTTTTCTTCTTCTTTCTTTCTTTTTTCTTCCTCTTTTAATTTCTTTTTGTCCTCCTTTGTCTTCCCACTCATCTGAATTTTTTAGTTTCTCATCTCTTTTTCACTTTTTTCATTTTCTTTACAGTTCACTATATTTAGTACGTTTTACAGTTCTTTGGTAGACGATTTTCTTTCATACTTTCATAGTTGAAGAAAGAGCAATACTATTGTTTTAATCTTCTGTATTATTTAATTTTGGGTTTATGTTTAAAGTTGATGGGATTAATCAATTGAAGGTGGAAAAAATAAATAATTTGATTATTGAATCAAGTATTAGAACATCAATTAATGGGAAAAAACAAAAACAAGTTAATAATTAAACTAGAAAAGTTATATTTGATTTAATGAATTGGTCAATAATATTTCTATGTATTTGTGTTATTGCATTATTAATTTTAACATTATGCTTAATTGGGCAAGGGAATGGACTAGAGAATAATAGTATATTAGGTAAAACTTATCAATTTTTAGTATCAGATGATGGTTTAGTGTTTGTTAATAATAATAAGGAATTAATAATTTAATGGATGTGCTTAATGAATAGAAGATATGTTCGATTATTATTTGGAGGAAAACAATGGGGAATGATAAAGAGTTTTTATAATAAAATTTTATATAAAAAGAGTCATTTATTACAAATTATTTATTTAGCTATGATAGGTGTATGTGATTTATTGTTAATAAGAGATGTTTTTCATTCACTGCCACAAGAATATTTTATTTTCTTTCATATCAATTTAATTCTAACAATAATCTTTTTCTTTATTGCAAGTCTTTCAAATCCTGGATATATTAACCAATATAATGTTAAAGAGTATATTAAGAAATACCCATTTGATAATATTATCTTTTATCGTAGGAAATGTTCTACATGTTTATTAATGAAGTTTGTTCTTATTACATTTATTTTATTATTAATTTAATTAATAATATAGACCATCACGTTCTCATCATTGTAATATTTGTAATAGATGTATTGCAAAATATGAACATCATTGTTGTTGGATTAATAATTGTATTGGTGAATTAAATTGTAGATATTTCATTATATTTTTAATTATAACAACAATGCTATGTTATCATAGTTGTTTCTTATCTTTTTCAGTAGTATCAAAAGTAATAACTCAATATGATCTTCTTAATATTGACTCATATCATTTAACAAATGAACAGTCATTAATAATTCTTTTTAATGAAACTGGGAGTGCATTATTTGTAGGATTATTTTCTTTATTTTCAGGGGTAATATTAAGTTTGTTTACGTTATATCATATAATGATGATTTCTCGTGGAATAACAACCAACGAGAAATTTAAATGGAAAATGTTACAAAGTCGTGATAGTACAATTCAATATAAAAATAAATATGATTTAGGTGTTATAGAAAATATATTTTGTGTGTTAGTTCCATCCAGAAAACCACAATATACATTTAAATAATTATTTATAATCAACCTTTTATGGGATTTTTTTTTTCTTTTTCAAAAGAACTTATAAGTCAGTTTAAATAGTAATTAATTTGATGAAAGATTTACTTTATATGTATGAAAAAGATAATCCTATTATTGAAGATGAAACATATGAAAATAATAATAATTTAAATAATTATTTTAAAAATCAATATAAAGTTAAATTATTAATTAAATTAGTATTACTTATTTCAATTATTGTATCTATTATATTTGGAATAGTTCGAGTAATTACTCTTAGAAGATCATATACATGTAATAGTCGTTATTCAACATTTTTTATTGAAACAATACCACCACCAAATATTGAAATAACTAATAATACACAATTTTATACCTTTATTGATCCAACATTTAAATTAGAATTTAATGGAACATTTCTAGAAAAAGATAATTCCAGGTTTTTTGGAGGAAAAATAATTTATCCTGAAGTTACTCTTAATGATTCAAGATTTAGTTTAAAAGCACAATTCGATCATTGTGATTATCAAGTTTTTTATAAACATTATATTCTTTGTCATACTCTTCGTTTAAGATTTTCTTTAAATTCTATAAACATAAGTACTATTAAACCTTATCCTATTACTATTTCAATAAAAGATCCTGATCCATCATATTCAATGTATTTTACTGATTCATTTGATTGCGGTTGTAAAAATAATTTTACAATGGTTCTAATTCCATTAAATAATCAAACAACATTTTATGCAAAAACAAAACCAACAGTTATTTGTGATAATTCTAGTAATATTAATGAACAACAAAAATTTATAAATTTAACACTTCAAACATTTGAAACAGAAAATAATTTTTATCCTTTTATTCAACAAAATCTTACAATTATTAATCAAACAAAAATATTTAATCCTATTATTATTGAAACAGAAATAGATAATAATAATCTTACTCATATTTCATCTAAAGAACTTAATGTAATTTCAACTCAATTATTGGGTGATACTCAAATATTTGAAATTATTGTTGGACAAAATGGAACTATTGGATATATTACATTTTATAATAAAGTCACTTATCAATGTTATCTTGAAAGAAATAAAGTCTTTCATTTTATTGCAATTCCTTTTGTACTTGATAAAATTAAAAATAAGATACCAAGTGCTTTTGTAGCATCTGGCATTTATAATAATCATTTTGATAATATAAATATTACTATTCTTAAATCAAATTTATATAAAACAACTTTTAGTATTCGTGGTTCTTTTATTTTTTATCACGAATTATTACCACAAATATTTATTAATGATAAAAATACTTCTATTGTTAATATTATTGAACCTTCAATTCTTAATTTTAACCAATTTCTTAATTACGAAACAGGGTTGGTTGGAAGTAAAGAATTTATTGTTGAACTTAGAGGATATTGTGATTTAAATGAAATTAAAAAAATTACTATTATTATTCCTGAATGTTCTAATTGTCAATTAATAAAATATTTTTAATTTGTTCATTATTATTAAAATAAAATTAAAAATGAATAATATAAGTAGTACTTCGTAATATTGAAAAGAATTATTTATTATGAGTATTATTTTTAATTTCTTATTTAAATTACTATCTTTTTTTTAATAAATTCTATATTTTTCATTTTATAATAGTATCAAAAGTTGTATTTAACAGAAATATAAATTATTTATTTGTTTAAAATATTCAGTTTCTGTATTATATAAAAAATTTCTTCTTATATTTTTGTTTTATAAAAGTACTAAATTTGATTCTTTTCAAATACAAAAAAAGTATTAGTTTTTTTAATTCAACAATAATTAAAATTTTTTTTTTTTTGGGATATTATAAAATATTTTTCTTGGGAAATAATAATCGTTTCAATAATAATAACTACCTCCTCATTTCCTTTTTTACTATTTAAAGGTTTCTTAAATAAATTAAAAAGAAATATTTCTTTTAAATTAATAAATTATCAAAAACAAGTTTATTTTTTTATTCTGAGTGATATTTTTATGAGATTCAAGAATATTAAGAGTTAGCTATTTCAATTTTAAATTACGATAATACATAACTAAAAATTATAAACATATTTAAAAATGAATAATAATTATTATTTAAATAATTAATGAAAAGATATTAAGAAGTTTTTTTTCCTTATGATTGAAATAAAAAACAAAAATTTTTTTTGACTTTTCATTTATTTCCTTATTTAAAGAAAATATAAAAAAAATAAAAAAAAAATGAAACAATACATGAAGAAGTCAAAATCAAAAAGATGAAAAAAATTGATATTATTTTTCATAAATAAAATAAAAAAAAATAAAAAAAAACTTAAAAACAATTACTTAATGAAGAGAAACTGTGATCATTGTTTATCTCTTATTTCAATCTTTGCTAATCAAATTCGATCGATTCGAGGGATTGTAGTTTGTAAAGAAATTATTTTAAAAATACTTAATATTCATCATACTCATTCTAATAGTTAGAAAATGGAACAATGAACGATGCTCAACCTCATATAGATCTTATAAATCAATCATCTATTGACTTACAAAAAACTATTAGCCAAATTGATTGTTTCTTTTCTACTGATGATATTTTAGAAATATATGACACAATTGTTGCTACAGCAGATGACTTTTATCATTCATTAGAAGAATTAATTCAAGTAGCTACATTATCACTTACGGGTAATGACAGTCAAGCAAAATTACAATTTAGTGAATTAATTAGAAATGTAACTAAATTCTTATATGGATTAAGAGAAGGATTAGGACAATTACTTAAAAAAATACCTGAAATGAGAATGGCAGTATTAAAACCAAAATTACGGGGAGACTTTTCTTCTATTATAGAATTCTTAGGTAATATTAATCTTCATCTTATTAATAAAGAATATTCTTCAAATAATCAAGATATTATTCATTGTAAAGAAAAATTACTTTCATTGTGTTCAATTGCTGTTGAAGAAGGTGCATCAGAGGAAGATAAAAAGGGAGTTATTTTATGTTTTAAAGAATTTGTTAGTGCATTATTAGAATTAAAAAATAAAGAAAATCCAACTCAAAATGATATTAAAAAAGTGACTTCTTTTATGGAATTATTTAAAAGAGCTATTCGTAGTATGGCAATGGGACATGTTGTTACATTAAAATCATTTGATTTAAATAAACAAAAAGAAGAAGAACTTCAAAAAAAGAGAGATGCTATGGCTCAAGAGGATATAGAAAGAATAAGAGAAGCAGAAATTAATAAAAAAAGAAGAGAAGAAGAATCAAAAATACTCCAACAAGAAATTGAAGAAACTAAAAGAAAAGGTGAAGAAGGAAAGAAAGAAATAAAAGAACAACAACGTCTTTTACAAGAACAAATGAGACAAGGAGAAATAAGAGAAGAAGGACTTAAAGATAAAGAAAAAGAATTATCAAAGAAAATACAAAAATGTAGTCAAGAATTAGATGAAATAACCACAAAATATATTATTGAAAAAGAGGAATATGAAAAAATGATTATTCAACAAAAACAAGTTCAACAAAGTTCATTAAAAGTTCAAGAAAATAAAGAAAGTTTTGATGATTTAGAACGTAAAAAACAACAAATGTTGTTAGAAAAAGAACAATTAAAAACAAAGTTACAACGACTGAGAGGAAGTAAAATAACTGTTAAAAAATTATCAAATGAAGTTAAAGGTGATTTAGCTAAAACTGCTCAAAGACAAAGAATTCTTTCTAAAGAATATCCATCTAAACAATTGTCAGCTGTAGAAATGAGAAAACAATTAGAAATTGATAAAACTGCAAGAGAATTAGTACAGATGTCAGATGAAAATCAACCTACAATTATTGAAATTGCTCAAAAACTACAAACATTATCCGAAACATTAGATTTAGATAATATTGAAGAAAGTACTGATGTTTATCAAATTTTAAAACAAACAGATTTTAATTCAATTGCACTTAGAATTACTTCACCAAAATTTAGAATATCATCATCTATTTCATATATTGGACATTTTGTTTCTGATGATGAATATGATCCAGAAAATAAAGAAGTAACTAAAATGATTGAAGACTATGAAAAAGAAGCATTTTATAGTTTAGCTGAAAAAGCTTCTGATATTGCTACAACAGCAGAAGACATGATGTGTTTTGGATCATTATCTGTTGTTGCTGATTGTAAAGAATCAACTGATGATTATTTAAGTGATTTAGCAGGAAGTTGTAAATTAACACAAAAAGCAGTAATTACATTTATGGAAGCTATTCCATCAATTTATAAACATGGATCTGAGTGTAAAGGTGATGAAGGACTACTACAAAAATATGTTGAATGTTTAGTAAAAATTCCAGTTAATTCAGGTTCTATTACAGAAAAGAAAGAAACAATTGAATTTACATATTTTTATGAACAAATTATTGAAAGATTAAAAAGACAAGAATTTAAACCTGTTATTAAGCAAAAATATATTGAAGCTAGCTTAGGATTAGTTGCTAGTGTTAGTCGTAAATATATTTATCAAATCATTAATACTAATACAAAAAAAATTAAGTCTATTGTTGGACAATTCTTAGCAATGTCTAAATGTATTTCACATTTAAAGCCTAAAGATTTTAAATACCTTCAAAATACTAAAAAATTTGATTCAAAAGAATTTGAAAAAGATTGTGATAAAGCTGATAAAGATTCTAAAGAACAATTCCAAAAAGAATTATTTTATAATGTAAATATGCAACGAGGATATGACCTTGAAATTCTTTATATGTTAGAAATTGCTGCACTTGCAACTGATTTAATTAACACTATTCAAGACTTTATTGATGCTGTTTATACAGTAATTGCTTTTAATGAAAAAGAAGATAAATTAGATGTTATGGATGATTCATCTCCTGTAGCTGATGAAATTATTTCTGAAACAAAATTAATTAAAGTAAAAGATGATCGTGTAATTTGTTCTTCATTAAACCAAATGATTTATAGATTTGTAACAAGTTATGAATCATTTAGAGAACAATTTTTCCAAACATATCAATCCTTTACTAAAAGCTCAATTGTATTATCAAAAATTGTATCAATGTATCTTGGAAATAATTCTCTACAAGAACAAGTAAGGACTCAATCATTAATTGCAATTAAACATTTTGTTGATGAATGTTTTAATGATTTAGATTCAAAGTCTATTGTTATTGTAAAGAAGTTTATAAATGAATTAAAAAATAGAAATGAAGAAAAAAATGTACAAGCACTCAATGCTGTGTTATTAAGAAAAGAAACAGAATTAAAACATTTTATTGCTGAAAGTCTTGTTCCACCAATAGATTTCTTTATACCACAAGAGGCTGTTTCACCATCAATGTTAATTCAGTTATCTGATAGTGCAGAAGTTGCTCGACAATTAACATTAGTTGCTTCTAAAATATTTAATAAAATCGGTCGTCAAGAATTCTTCAATAAATCTTGGAATGATGAATCTTTATTCCCACAATCAGTTAATGTCATAAGAATGCTACGACATTCTGATACTGTTCGTGACTGGGTAATTAGTTCTATTTTATCTTTCTTTTCTACAGAGAATAGAGTAAAAGCTACTATTCATTTCATTCAAATCGGTGACTATTTAATGAAACTAAATAATTTCCAATCACTGTATGGTATTGTTCAAGCCCTTGGACCAAATGGTTGTATTTCTCGATTACAAGTTATGGATAGTATTCCATCAAAATATGCTAAGTTATATCATCAACTAAAGAAAGCAGTGCACGATAAAAATGATTACAAGAATTATAGGCAAATAGTTTCTAAAATTAATGAACCTTACATCCCATTAATCAACGCTTTCTTAAAAGACATCGAAAAATTTGAGGATGAAAATCCGAAAACAACAAAACTGGGTAAAATTGATGTCATCAATATGAAAAGAAACGACTGTTTAGCTGACATGGTAAATCAATTCCTCAGTGCCAAAGAAAATCCTTACAAAATTCCGATGGTAGAACCTTTATCAACTTTCCTTAACGAAATGGTAAATTTGAGTGGTAAACCTCGAGACGAAGTTGTTTCAATGTGGATCAAGTTATTACCAAACTAATTTTTCTTAGTTTTTAATACTTTTTACAATTGAATAAATTCTTTTCATTCGGTTTTAAAATAAATTCACTAATAAAGCTTCTTTTCCAATGCAGGAAATACAACAAAT